GTGGATTTTCACTTCCGCTTTGTTTTTTTATGTTTTAAATTTTAAATTTATGTTTACAATCGATTTTTCCACTTTTTGTTTCCACTTTGCTGTTTGATTTGCAATTCCACTTCTATTTGGTGTGCCCTTCCACCCGTGACGTTTGACACGTAACCTCATTTCATGGCAAACACGAATTTGGCAATAGCATGTGAACTGAAATTACCCAATTTCGTTTGTTTTCACGTCATATGACGACTGGACTGGACATATGTCACCGTAACGCCATTAGTTACAGCGTGCCGTAATTTTGCGGTATTTTACGAGGTATTTTCATCCTACCATATTAGGAAATGCAAATTTGGAATGATTACGCGCGTAGGCGTCCTCTAATAATAAAAACAAACATGGCTGCCATCGGAGTTTGACCGGACTCCACACAATTTTCAATTTATAGTGATTTAATATATCGCTTTCCTTCAAGCGCCACCACCGACAGAATGTTTCACAAAACCAGGGCATAGTTTTAGTATTGCGCCCTCTGGAAAATACTACATTATAGCTAGACTATGAGAAGGGTATTGTTGAGTGCACTGGTTCGAATAGACTGGCACTAGTGTAGTTGACTATATTTTAACAACGTTAACCGCAGATAGTTTTTCTATTGGTAATATAATTGAATCAGACCATCTATCACTTGAACTTACCATGGTGCTGTCTTCCAAGCATGAAAATAGTATTATCAATGCTGTTCATCATAATACTGGGAATCTGAACAAACTAAAATGGTGATCCTAAAAACGCAAATGTTTATAGAAATAATTTTAATTCAGAGGGCATTAGAAATCTAAGTCATGAGGTTAATGGGAATGTGATAGAAGGGAATATAAATGATGCAGCTACTAGGTTAGCTAATATTATTCATTTTTGTGGAAAAGATATGGTGTCAAATGAATGTTTTCGAAGTTTTTGGTTTGATAAAGAATGTCTAGTCACAAAACGTGCAGTCACTAAAGCGCTTAATCACTACAGACATACAAAAAGTCAGAACAGTCTTGAATAGTATCTTCTATCTAAACAATCCTCTCTAAAACTCATTAAAGAGAAAAAAAGCAGAATTTCAAAAGCTCAGAAGGGATGAACTAATTAACCTGTCCAAACAGAAAAACTCTCATGAATTTTAGCAGAAAATTAAGCAACATAAAATTAATGTCTCAGAAAATATTACTATGGAGGAATGGTCACATTACTTTACTAATTTGTTTAATCCGGTTCTTGAAGAAAATGAAAATTACGATGATTTTTACGCATCAATCGAGGATTATATGAATGGTTTAGATATAGAGGATATAAGTTTACCTGTCGTAGATTTGGAATTAGCAGAATTTAACCAACCAATTACTATGACAGAGGTGAAGAAGATTTGGATAAATTGAAGGCTAATAAATCACCTGGCCCAGATGGGATTCCTTCTGAGTTTTGGAAATGTGCACCTTTAGACATCTGTGATCTGTTGTACAGTCTATATATTAACAAAGTTTTTGATCAAGGGGTGGAGTAGGGGATTAATTTCCCCAGTGTACAAAAAGGGTTGCAGGGATGACCGGGCAAACTATCGAAGTATAATGCTTTTGAATACTAAAAGGAAAGTATACACAAGTATTCTCAGTGACAGGTTAAGTAATTGATTAAATCGATAAAAGTGGAACAAAGTGGATTTCAAAAAGGTAAATCAACTTTGAATAATATTTTTGTTCTCTATACCCTTGTAGAAAAATATGTTTATACTCTTGGAGCTAGATTCTATTGTGCCTTTATTGACTATGAAAAGACATTTGATAGAGTACACCATTGTTCATTATTTTATAAGTTGTCAAAGATTGGAATTAAGGGGAAACTGTTTAAATCACTTTATTCTATGTATCAAAATATTAAGGCTGCGGTGAAAAACCCAAAGGGAGTTACTGAATTTTTCCATATTAATGTTGGGCTGCAGCAGGGTTCTGTTATACCACCTTTACTGTTTTGCTTTTATATAAATGACCTTAAGAGTGCCCTCCAACAAGGACGGGAATCAGTTGTGTATATAAATACTTTAACACTTTTTTATCTGTTATATGCGGATGATTTGGTGTTGTTCAGCAGCACACCTGTTGGATTGCAAAGATTACTTAATAACTTAGTGGATTATTGTCCAAAATGGAGACTGAATATTAATATGAACAAATAAAAAATCATTGTTTTCCGAAAGGGGGTCGTCTGAAAAAAAGTGAAAAATTATTTCAGAGGGGTAAACAGATTGAAATTGTAGCAAACTATAATTATTTAGACATAATTCGGACAAATAGTTTCAAACACAGAAAGATATCTCGGAGCGAGCTAATAAAGCACTATTTTGTTTGGCAAAAACTATTATGGGGTTGGGGGACTGCAGCCTGATCTTGCATGCAAAGTATTTGACTGTAAAATATTGCCAATTTTGTTATATGGTAGTTGTGTGTGGGGAATGCTGACAAAGCTGACAAAGAAAAAGTACAAAATAAGTTTTGTAAATTTATATTGGGAGTTAGTTTCAACGCTTCCAATGCTGCAGTAGTGGTGAATTACAGTGCCGAATGAAGAATACTGTAATGTGACTGGCAAAGTTGGGCTTCTTTTTTGTTTTACAAAAAGAAATAAATCATTGTTCTTTTAGTCCTTTTAGCGTGATCGCGAAAACTAACCCGACCGATAAGAAAATCCCAACTGGGCGCATCTGCGGGCATTTGACTGCTATTAATTATTCATGGTGTCATTGATTATTTATGCGTGGGTGTGTGAAATTAAACATTACCTTTCAAATGTTGATTAGTTCGATCGAAGAGATGGATACTTTAACATTCTAAGTGCGAAAGCGATACTTTAATTCATGTTTACTGAAAAAAGTCGATTTAAATGTCCAATGTATACAAGTGGTCTTTCAAAATCGCCGGGACCTCAGAAGTGAAAGGTCACGTACACTAACTTAGATGAGATATGACGTATATAGCTGCACTTTCATTCGTTGTCAATGCCAGTCAACAACTTTTAATTAGCATAATCACCGCTCCGGTTTCCCCCCCCCCCCCAACGCAGGGGGTCACCTGCAGATGCGTCCAGTCGGGATTTCTTTCGCAGTCACGCTAGTTTTCGCGATCACGTTAAAAAGGCTAAATTGACAATTAATTATATTTTTTTATAAAACAAAAAAAAGTCGAATTGCGTCACGTGTATTTAAGTGATGTGTGTCCAGCTTCACAACTCTTTAACTCGGGAGTCTAATTAAACAATTATGTAATACGCGCCGTAACATATTGGACATCTTAAAACAGTTTGTGTCCGGACTGACGATGGCAGCCCTCAGAGAGATTACTAGATAATAAACTGATGGTCTATTAAGGTTTGCAGGTGCTATTTCATTATTCTGTAACGTGTATTTGTGAGGTACTTTAGGCAAATCACGAGATCTATTACGTACTTTCTAGGTCTCGATGGGTAATATCCTTGCAAATGCTTACTCCAGTATATCTATAAAACATAACATGTGTTTACCCATTCGTTAGGATATACGCCCATACTATGCTTGCTATTGACGTTGCATAACTAAACAAACAAGAAACATGCACATGAATCGATATGGTGACAACACTTTTTACAGAGAGTTAGACTTGGAGGGACGAAATCGATCTTTATTTAACTTTTACAATTCTTATATTTTTAAGAAAATGTCTTTTATTGCTGTATGACATAGACATATCGTATAAGCACACACGCCGATCCATACCAGTGTGAAAGCAAAAACAATTTTAGCGAAATAAAGATGAAGTCTTTCAAGTTGAAATACTTGCAGAAATATGTATAAATATATTTGTCTAAGATTAATGTCAAACATTTATTCAAACATTGTCAATACATTTTGATTTTTACCAGGCATTCACCAGACTCTGTGAGTACCAGTAGATAATTATTAGGTTAGGCCAGTTTTGACAATTGACGAAAACTGTGGTGTCTAAAATTATAAATGTGGGCAAATTGTTCACAAATTAATAATAATATGTCCAGATAATCTGCCACCATAATCTGAATCATATTTCACTGATATATACAGGCTGGAAATCGACATATACAACCGAGTTATAAAAAAAAAAAAATCTACTTGTTTCAATATAATACAACTCGAAATAGTAAACAGACATCATTTGAATACGTACGAACACGTAATTGAATCTCGTTACGCATTAACGTGAAAAACAAACTCTGGTATGAATTCTGGTATGAACACTGAGGGCAGTATCGATCGTTATTTACATCATTCAGAATAACATTCCTCAGAAGCGATTCCGCGAATTATTATGGCCAGACTACATGGACAATTAAATACAAGCGGTGCTTACTAGGTATTCGCAAAAAAGTTTTACATATGTGTTTAATTACCGTCTCAAATAAAGTGTCAACGTACAATAAATGCAAATGCCTTTCTTCTCAAATGGGTTATTCTCTGGCGTTATGGGTGCTATGTCGCAAAAAAAAACGTTCCAGTTTACCTGGTCATGTTTTTAGACAAGTTAAGGAATCTTGTCATATTTGGCCCTTTAAAAATAGTAATGGAAAATAATGGATAATCATTGAATTTAATTCATACAAGTATTATTTATAAGTACTGTAAGTAACATATATAGTAATAAATGAAGGTTAAATATAATATTTGCAAAATCATGACCCGATTAGCGATACCTGCTTAAACATGTCGCGAATTGTTGCGGATAGCCATTGAATTCTTAATGCAGCTACAGATAGTGCGTTGTATTTACCGGTTCGCGTGATAAACAAAATAGTGCAGTCTAACAATTCGACCAAATATTCGACGCCCTCACAGTAAATATTAATAATAGGGTAACAGGCTTTCCATTCGATGAAACCAGTATTGAAGTTTTGAAGAAAAAAAATATTTTAAAAGAAAAACAAAATTTAATTGTAATATATACGTATTAAATGAACGTATTCTAGTAATCTTCCGTGTACGGGTCCACTGAAATGTCCATTGCCGCGCTGGACGACCGCGACTTCTCAAGCAAAATGGAGCAAGCGCCCGCTATGTTTGCGATCGTAAATATCCAAAGTAAAATCCTATCAATAACCATGGCAACAAGTTTCCAGTCATCTTTAATCTGCAAAACAACATGAGAAAGCAATTGAGACTGATTAAAAAAAAAAATATTTTATTTTAATCTTCAAACCACAATGCTAATATAGATTTGCATAATCACCATCCAACCGTACCTCATTGCAAGCACCTTCGTTCCGTATATGACTAGTTATTATTTGTATTTCCTCCAGTATTTTGGCATCTGTGTTCTTCGACTCGCAGAGTACCGCGTGTGACTGACACCGCCCACACTTATGAACACCTGTGTTGGTCACCGGGGTGTCCGCTTCATTGGTCGATGCAGTTAATCCATTTTTATCACATGCTATCAAGTTCGTACAGTCATTTTTCAACATAGACTCCATTTCGTGTGCGTTCTTGTTTTCACATACGCCATCCCCCGACTTCCGTTTACGCGGGCGCGACCGCATGCACAATATTACGGGAATGATCTCCAAGAAAAGTCTCCTCACCCAGTAGGGCATTTTGTCGTGCATGACCCCTGATCGGTGGTGAATGTTCAAAACAATTACGGTGATTATGATGGAGACCATGACGAGAACTTCTGTGAACATGAGATATCTGCCAATCAGAGGCATTGCTATTGAAGATGGCGGCATGATGTCTGCCACCAACAGTTGAAATACGGAGAGCGCTAAGAGAATGGAGATACTGAGGCTGACCTTTTCCCCGCTGTCTGGTGGGAGGTAGAACACCATCAATGTCAAAAAAGACATTATCATGCACGGAATGATCAGATTCACCACGTAGAACGCCGAGCGACGTCGGATGATAACGACGTACTTGATGTTAGAGTATATCTCGTTACAACAATCGTACTTCATCGTATAGTTTCTCCCTGGAACGCTCATCACCTCCCATTCACTATTCTCCCAAAAATCCTCCTTTTCTGCTTCATCGCTCATCAAACTCAACAGTAACTCCTGTCCGCTGTAGGCCCACGAACCAAACTTTAATGTACAACGTTGTTCGTCAAAGGGAAAGAACTCAATGTTGATTTTGCACGGGCTTTTAAATATGGTAGGAGGCGCGTAAAAGACGGTACCGTCGTGATATATTCTGGCTTTGGTTGTGGTCTTTGTAGACATAGTTGAGCCGTAGTTTCCATCGGCACTGAAACAAAGAAAATTAAATCTACTACGTAATAGGGTTATTATATTTAAAAAAAACACGTGCAATCAAAGCGGTCGAGATGGGAACATATCTGAAGGCACTGTAACATGCAATACAGACGTGTCTTGTATATCCGCTGTTCCATCGTACAACTGAGTAATTAATTATTCATGAACAATGGCACTTACTTGTTATACAGTACGATGTCTGGGAACCACAACGTGTACTCGGGTAATGAGACTGCTGAGAGATTACTGTATTGTGCAGGCTCCCATGTCAGTCGGTAGTCCCTCCATTCCTATAAATCATTAAAGAATAATCGAGTTTTATTATACTTGACTTGTAAAGCTCTTTTCTTTTCGCTGTATCGTACATAATAATGCTTCTGTTCTATCTTGTGAACATACATTTAAACCTACGAAAATAGCGATGCCTACTCTGTGCATATACATCCGCTACACATAAGTGTCGTCTCTGCCTTCTGAAATGTGACATGAATAATACAAATTACGAGTAGATTTCTGCTGCCAGCTTATATTGTTAAATATTGTTTTCTATATCATTTATTTCAGTAATATAAATATAATGGTACGCGAGTTTAATGTGTCTGCGATGCATTTCACATACTAACTAGCTATAATACGCAATAATATGCCGGTAACGCAATTTTTCGTTTTGTTTGATTGATTTTTATCACTCGATTTCATATTAAAAGGTTGGGATAAAGTATTTAAGGTCTTTTCAAGAATATCTGAGCGCGCTGCTTTCATACTTCTAATGTTCAGAGCGAATAAATGAAAATATTGAATTTACTAGAAACACATGGTGCTCATATAATATTTGTACTCTCCAAAAAATGCCTGGGTTAGATAGAATCTATGCTGGTATTAGGGTTACAATGGTGAGTTAATAATACATAATGTTTTTGCTTTTTACTCGTTTTATTCACTCCTGTACATTTCAAAATACACAAAAACTTTCCTGGTATGCAAAATTACCAAAGGTAGATGTTTCAAAAATGCCGCTAGATGAGTGTTAAAACAACTAAGTATATCAGCCAATCGGATTCGTCTAGATCGACATGTTTACTCATAAATACACTAGTGATAAACAAGATGGCTAGATATGGCGATGCTTTATCCTTAGACATGA